TGAGTCCCGTGAAGAGTATGCCACAAACGATTTGCAATCTCACGATCATCCTCGCCGCGCCTGCTCCGATTGAACAATTGTCTTTGTTTACTAGTTGACATCTGATTGTTAGCACCCCCCCGAACGATTAACGCCGTCTCTTCTCTTCTCTCTCTCTCCTTTGCAGTCCTGAGATCTTGCGATCCTGAAACGTATTCCACAGATCTTATCAGTCGCATCAGATTGATCGAATTGCAACGTTATTCCATCCCAGGCAGCCATCCCGAGTCCACTTTCAAGGCGCCGTCACGTACGGCCTAGCCCCACACTCCATCATTGTGATAGGCGACTGCCGGTCGTGAATCTGACAATCCATCATTAGCCCCGAGAGATCAAGGCTTGATTCATGTCCATCGTTGTCCTCCGGCGACTTGGATAAATCGCCATAATGCCGCCTCCCATCGATCCGGAAACCATTTATACCAAGCAAACTTGCATTGGTAGGTATTTCGGTCCTTCGGCCTTGAAGGGTCATGATAATCATATGATTGCTGACTTTTATGTGATCTTGTAGGCGGTGGAAGCTTCGGTAAGGTGTTCAAAGGGTAAGTCGAAGACCTTCCATTCAACATCTTGGTTCAACAAAATGCTGACCCAGCTCGGACAATTAGTCTTGATAGACGCACTGGAGAATCAGTGGCTATCAAAATTATTGACGTCGAGAATGCCGAGGATGATGTCGATGATATCATCAAGGAGATTGCCATCTTGTCTGAGCTGAAGTCGCCCTATGTCACCAAGTACCATGGCTCGTACTTGAAGGGGTCCAACCTGTGGATCATCATGGAGTTCTGCGCTGGTGGTAGTTGCCACGGTCTCTTGCGACCTGGTGTGATCCACGAGGAGTACATTGCCATTATTCTGAGGGAGCTCCTGCGCGGACTGGACTATCTCCACAGTGACCAGAAGCTGCACCGAGACATCAAAGGTACGAAGACCTCATTTAGTTGAAATGACGATGTGCAGTGACTAACACTTTGATTGTAGCTGCCAACGTTCTTCTCAGCGCGAGTGGTCAAGTTAAATTGGCGGACTTTGGCGTGTCAGGACAACTGTCGGCAACGATGACCAAGAAGAATACCTTTGTAGGCACTCCGTTCTGGATGGCCCCCGAGGTTATCAAGCAATCTGGATATGATTACAAGGCCGATATTTGGTCCCTGGGTATCACGGCGATCGAACTGGCCTGCGGTGATCCTCCTTACGCCGACATTCACCCGATGAAAGTGCTGTTCTTGATTCCCAAGAACCCGCCCCCAACATTGGTAGGCGATTTTAGTAAGCCTTTCAAGCAGTTTGTTGAACTGTGTTTGCGCCGAGACCCTAAGGAGCGGCCATCAGCCAAGGAGCTTCTGGAGCATCCGTTTGTGAAGCGTGCCAAAAGAACAACCTACCTGACAGAACTCATTGAGCGCGCAGAGCGTTGGCAAATAACTCATCGGGGTCAAGACGACGACGACGAATATGATGGGTATGATGATAGAGAAGCCGATCAAACAGCAAAGGATAGAACCCAGGAAAAGGAAGACCTCTGGGATTTCGGTACTGTTCGCCCTGTGGGAAAACATGCCCCTCCGTTGCGCCCTATTGCCAAAGGTTCCGACAGCAATGCACGAACAAATGAGACAGAGGAGTGGGATCTGTGTGATGCGGCACCCCGACAAGCCGGAACATTCCAAACCCAGTCACACGCCCAAGTGACGCCAGCAAACCCACCAAACCCTGCTTTCAATGTTTCTCCCACCAAAACTCCTCTTCCTCCCTCTGCACCATCTTCCCCTCTTAAGCAACGCCCCTCCCAGGCCGCACTTCCTCCACGCAAACTCGCGTCTCCAGTGGCCAGCAGACCCGCAGTAGATAGCCCTCCCGCAAGGGGATTGAACGAACAATACGTACAGGCAGCGACTCACTACCCTGGCAAACTTGATACTACTTCTTCAGCCAAACCCGGCTCCGCGGTTAGTAACCAGCGCACTCCTGCTAAGCAAATCTCCAGCATCCCCCTTCACGATCAATACCGCACTCCATCTGGTCAAATTCTGCACAGGTCATCTCTACTTTCTCGTGCCATTGCTGATTCTCTGGGACAAAAGCCACAGTCTCCGCGCATTCCTCAAGCTGCTCTTCCTCTGGGACATCAGCCACAGTCCCCACGCATCCCTCAAGTCGCTCTTCCAAGACATCCAGACTCACTACAACACGCAAAGCCAGTTTCTGGACTCAAGTCTAAGCGCGCACCAGCAAACATGGATGACCGTGCTTTCCCCCACCGCTCCACCCCTCCTACCCCCACTTCCAGCGAGCAAAAGCGCTCCACCCGACCTCTCCCCGAGGCTGAGCGGGCAACCGCCTGTGGAACTGTGATTCTCCCGGCCCTCCGTGCAGCCATGGACCGCCGCCGCAACCACCTCGTCCGTCTCGAACCCGGACGTAACCCTAACGACCCCCCGGCTACCCCAGAACAGGAGAAGGACTTCGACCGTAGCGTCCGCATCCACCACGGTCTGGAGAAGGTTGCCGAAGACATCGCTCGAGCTTTCAACAGCCTTCACCACTGGGATATGGAGAGACCTGTTGACATGGGCGGTGGTGTTGATGCTGTTCTCGACGCGTTCCTCGAGGAGGTCCTCGTCCGGTTACAGCCCAGTACCGACGCGTAATGGACGCGTTTGAATTTTGTTTTGAGTAGAAATGAGTGTTTTCGATGGAGTTTCTAGGCCCTGTATTTTGCATGGTTTTACTCCTTGCTTTTCTTTGTTTCCGGAGGCCTTGGTCTCTATTCCTTTCATGTGTATGTTATGTGTAGGAGTTAAACTTCAAATGGAACTCTCATCTCTGCTCTCACTTCCCGCTTTCATTTGTATGACTACGTGAATTAGTATTGTGCTCTCGCTTAGCTCTCTGTAAAGGGGATCACTAATAAGGACGTATGTGAGAAGATCAAATGCTGGGCTGATACTGGTCTTATCTAGTACTTTCTCTTCTTCTCCTTTTAACGGTTGGCTAATCCTCAGTTCTAAGTATTCTAAGTATTCTAAAATGGATGTCTTTTTCAGACAAAAATGATGCCACATTGAGAACTAAAGTGAATCTCCATCCTACAAGTGAAAATATATCTAACAAGATGTCCCCCTTTTTGTCTTGAAGATCTGCGATATTGTCCCGTTTAGTCTTGTCCATCCGTGTCTTCATCACTGAGCTTATCGTCGTCTAAGACTCTAGCCGTAGATAGTTCGCACGCCTTAGTTGTCTTCTTGCTTGTCACGAACCACAGGAATACCTTGACATCATTTTGTTTGCAAACTTTTCGAGGACGTCTTCCTTCTTTTATTTTTCCTAGGCATCGTATTCTGTAGCACTTGCCTGGGTTCACAAACTTCTCTAATTTGTTCAATCGCATCGAGATTCGCAAAGTCCAACTAAAATACCATTTATCATCGACTTGCACTAATGGAAAGAAAGCAATACACAAAGAGAAAATGAACAAGTGATATTATCTCTAGTCTTGAGGTTGCGTATTGCTCTGATCTAGAGCCCCCTTGTATCACTCCTTTGTCTTTGTCTAGGTGAAAAAGTAGATTTGAAGGCCATCAGGGGAATTAGATGAAGTATGTTAAAGATAGACGTCCTAGTTGGTGCAAAGAGAGGGTGTTGTATCGCATTATTCGCAAAGGTTTATATCATTTAAGTATGGATGTACCAGTGGACACCGTAGTGTGTTCCAAGGTTGGACTAAAGTCTCTTTAGAGTAAGATTGTCCACGCGTGTCAAATGGGTCCACTTTAAGTGGGTCACAAGCCACGTGGCCGGGGTATTTATATACCGAAAGTTAAGAAGGCCCTTCCCACGCACACGAGTGTGCTGACGCACTGGCGCATTGGATGAATGTATTCCTCTATTTCTGGCTGTGGCATATTGGTTCAACAAATACAAAGTCATTAGATCATCGACGGGGAGGTCCACCAGACTGCAGATCGTGCAATGCATTGGATGTGGTATGGCATGGTCTTTGGTGACTATCTCTGGTAAGACAATCTCTCAATTCCATTTCTCGATGCATTGATCGCAGATCACAATACTCTCCGCGTCGGTTTATATCAGAAACAATGCATCCGCCCATAATATCAAGATCCGAGCATCCATGTGGTCTATATCAGGACGTAATTCCTCTTGGGGATTGTTGGAAAACACACTAGTCTCAATCCACTGGTTTTCCTCTCAGACAATTTCAAAGTGTTGAACGTCCGTAGCTGATATTCTTTTCTCTTTGATCCAGTCCTCTCATATCCAAGCTCCTGCGAGAGAGTGGATATGAGTCTAAAAACGGGATAACAGTCCTCCTTGACCTTCCACATAAGTTGGTGCTTTACTCAAACAGTGGGAGGATTCAATGAACTTGGCGAAAGTGAAGCCGGTGGAAGGACATGGATCCTCAATGGGTTTGTATTGAGATACAATAACAGACTAGCAGGTTTTCTATCCAAATTAGCGTAAGCGCAAATTCCCCAAATAGAATCGACCTTACTAATGAAAGAAGCTGCGAGGATGAGACCGCAAAATTCACCTATAGAGGGCCGTGAAGTAAGGAAAATCCCGATGATGGATTTTTTCAAAATCTATTATGCTAGAACATGGCACAAATTTCCATCGTAGCATTCGCTCCTGGCAATCAATATCATGTACCTGTTCTGTGGAATCCAGAGCCATTTCAACACCGGGAGAGAGAACGAGGTGCACCAATAGTGACCGCAAAATCCAAGAAGCTAACAAGCCTTCTTTGTCGAGTCTACAGAATGATCTGCATACTAGGGCCGCTCAGCTGAACCAACGTGAGAATGGTATGAGTTCACGATCGCACTCAGGCTTCACATGACTACGGTGTTCCCCGGAGGTGAAAGCTTTCATTGGACGTTAGACAAGAAGCGACCGATAAAGGCGCAAGCGAGGTGTAGATTGTGTCCCTAGGATGGTCGGAACAGCCAATCCGTCTCCGGCGTCGGAATCAAGTAGTTGGTGATGTTGAATTCATTCGCATTGGAGGAATGACCACCATCATCTACGGACCCAGTTGGAGGCGCGGGGCTAGCGTCCGTCAATCCATGAATCGACATAGGATTTGGCACAGACTCAGGGATTTCCAAATGCGTAGAAGTAGTCAAGTCAGGAGCCCGCGTAGGAGGAACACGGGGAACGTTGAAGAAGCCAAAGACATCGAGGTACTCGAGTTCGTTGGGAGCGAAGTTGCGGGCGGGCATTGACGCCAGGGGTAGATGGGGCTGGTGGCTCTCGCCAATGCCATTGTCGGCGGGTGATTCACGTGGTTGACGCGAGATCAAAAAGTCCAGGTCGAATGCACAGCGACGCATATCGGCGAGGATCTTGACTGTTGATGGTGTGGATCGTTCGCCGTCTATGGCGGTCGATTGCTGATACTCGTTGTACTCGTCCAGGACGCGTTGAAGGATGTTGCTGTATCGCTCGGCGACTTTCCAGTATTTCCCTAACTGGAATAGAGTATCCACGAAAAAGATGATATCGGGACTGACGGTATGTGCAATAGTGGAGCCGTGGACGAGGAGTAGGCGCGCTGACACCCAGAGGGTGAAGGCAAAGGGCGGGCCCATCTTGTCCAGCATGTTGTGCTCTACAACGAACCTTGTTACTGACAGAATGTTTTCGACGGCTAGTAGGCATCGCTGGCTGGCACTGTATGAGGGCGTGAAGATTGGAGATCGAGTTGTCGGGTATGCTGCCGAGGAGTGCAGACGAATCACAGCTCTAGAGTGGTTGACCGGTTAATTGCTTGGAATAGAGCGATCAAAATGCGGCGTACTCACGTTTGGTATGTTGCATGCAATTGCACCCAATCGCTGTGCGGAGCCCGGCCATGCTTGGACCCACTGAAGAGTCGGGACGAATTTTCGTAGGCATATTCAGCTGGGAGATTGAACTCCCATGATGTTAACTCGCTGTCAAGTTTGCGATAGGTAGACTGCCAATCCTCAACATCGGAGAGAGCTCCGATATCCACGGGCCGTTTCAAGAACAGGTGAATCCGTGAGAGGATACCCAAGATTTCAACATAGAGACCGAAAGACCCAACGTTCTCGGCTTTACTGAGATAATCCGCACGGTCACTGGAGCATTGGAACCACCGCGTCTCAACGGGTTGGTTCTTCATAAAATAATCATCCTTGCAAGGGAGCTTGCGGTCAATGTCTCTGTCGTCCAAGGCGAAATTGAACGCAGTCGCCAGGGTGGAATATCGGTCTAGCAAGTACACCATCCAGAACAAACGACGCCTACTCTCATCTTCAATCCAAGAGTCTGGCTCCGAAAGAGTGACAGCTCTCAAAGTATAGATTGAGGGATAGGTGGGGTTGATAAGAGAAGACTTTGATTCCACAGCCAACCCTAGCTGAACTACAGACCGGGTGATCAGGGCAAGTAGCTTCCAACCCGGCGGACCATTGGAAGATCCAACCAAATCAAGAGCTAAGATCACGAGTGCCTGAAGTGCCTTGACCGAAGAATTTTCTAGGCCATACAAGACGACCTTTTGTTTGGAAGAGTCATGATAGCGCTTTCTGTTCTGGTCATTAAGCCTGTTGTCAGAGGAAAATCGCAGAGTTGTTGCCACGATTGCGTACAGCACCATTCGGTCTGCCTCGTCTAGTGGCGATGGGCCAAAAAAGGTATCCAGGGTTGTCCGCCGGTGGAGGATCGGGCACCAGGAGTTGATATGTTCGAAATAGAGATCTACCAAAGCATAGAGCAAATCATATGGTGGCAGATCCAGATCGGGATCAGTAAGAGATTGCTCTTGGTTTGAGTATATGTTGACGGGAACTTTCAAAGACGATTCGTTTCCTGCGTAATCGTGATGTGTGGTTTGGGCATGTAACAGCTGGCCAACTGGCGTCATTGACATGTCATGTTGCAGGTGATTGTGCGAAGTATTCTTCACAGAGCCATCTGATGGACTATTGGTAGACACATCCGCACGGCGTGAGGGCAATGTAACAGCAGACCCAGGGTCGTTGAAGTAAAGAGCCGTACTAGGGCTGGGTCCGTGGACTGCTGATGGCTCGGACGGAGAGCTATACGAAAGAGGTCCCGTATGGGGTAACTCGTGGCCCATTGAAGACTGGCTTTGCAGGATATGCATCTCAATAAGCCGAGCTTGCGATTGGATAATATCTTCCAATCGATCTGAGGTACGAGTGAGACACGAGATAGATGACGAGCAGACTGCATATCAACGTACCAAGTCGTTGTTCTAACTCCTTTCCATACCCAGCTCTCAGTCCGGGCTTCTTTCGTTCCCTATATTCACATTGCTGGCCATTTCGGGTACACCAGCCACAGCTCGGTTGTATTCGGTCTGGTTAGTCAATGTTAGAAGAGTAAACATTTCCCTAGAATCAAATTACGCCATACCGCATTTGACTTTTCGTTGCTTGCACAGTTCACATCTTGGTAGGGTTAGTCGGGGCTATGTTTCATACAAACGCGGGTAGCCGAGGTGATTTAGGTACGCACGAGACGGTGAGGGGCCGTTTTCGCTTCAAGGCTCTTGTGGAGCCATTGAGTCCAACATGATCGTTATCGGAATCCGAGGAATACTCTGCACTCTGATCTCGGTTTGGGTCCGCGAATTGCTGATTGGAGGATGGGGTCTCCTGGGCGGGAAGCGCAGTGTTCGGCATGTTGATTTAGCGAGGTAGCAATTCGCCCTATCAGGGACCGAGCATGATGCAAGGCCGATTCACGGGTGAAATATCCGAATAGGCTGGGATAGCCTGGTATATTGTTTTAATATAGATGGGGCCCTGCAGTCTTGGAAGGTTCTTCGCGATAGTCATTGAATCCGAGGGAAAGACAGGGAAGAAGCAGAAATGGTCGGGCCATGGAGCTAATGCCTCAGGCAGAAACCGGGGCACCCCGCATTTTCCGCATTGGGAATCCCCTGATTTTAGTTCTTTTCTTCTTTTGAATATTTAATTACAACTCACTAAATAACAGATAATAACATTTGGAAGAGTGTGAGCATAAACAGTTTAACAGACATCCGTGGACAATACCAATCCACAGGAGAGTTGCAAGGCTTATTTTGTCTAATAGGGTAGTGCTCTAATGAATATGATCTCGGGAGCATATTGCTTGCTTACAAAGGACTACAGGCTATAATAATCGTTCACTGTACCTAAAAGCGACATTTTTTACATGACCATATACTTCCATGATTTCACAATCAACAACACAGATCCATGGAACCTTCGAATTTCTACGTCGTAGAATAATTATGCCCGGAACCGAGATCTATCCCCTCTGTTCCACTGGTTATCATACAGCCTTGAAGCTCTATATTCAAAGAACATTCTCGGGGGCCCAGCCATCGCCTCCACGCATGTAAGATTCCGTCTCCTCGCTAGGGTCCTCAGTGTTCTCATCCAAGGCCTGGCCATTCATGAATTCCATAATCAGTTGGCTCGTCCAAGAAGCCCTTTCGCGAATTCTGAAGGAAATGACTTCTCTCTTATGATTCACAGCAAAGAACAAAATCCATCCCTCTTCACACGCCTTGCGATCGGCGATGACAAGCATAAGACACTGTACCATATCCAGCTCAGGCGGTCTTTCATATGACTCCTCAGGCCACACATGAGCTGATAGACCGTCCAATGTATTGGGTTTGTGCATTAGGCCCGTGATCATGTATGATGGCACGTAGCCTGGCGTCCCGCAGGCGACTCCATCCACAAAATCAAGATTCGTATCTCCATCAGGCATGGTGATACTGCCAGGCCCGAATTCGTCTTTACTCTCAAAGAAACACTCTTTCTATAGAACTACGTCGAGATCATTCCGAGAAACAATCGTGCGTAGTCGCTTATATCCAGCATCGGCGGCATCCTGGCTTGTTTGATCATCTCTCCGCCCGAACCATGTCCGAATCCAGACAGTCTTGTTGTCTGGCCATCTTTGGCATGTTCCTCATCTGACATCAGATCTTGCGGCACATGAGGAGGGATCTCCTCGGGAAATAGTTTGTCGCCATCTGGGTATTCCTATTTTTCTATCCATCGGCGTTGATACCAAGAAAGGTGGCGGGTTCAAGGTTACATAGCGGCCATTTCTGCCAATCCGAGTCCAAGACTCAGCAAGGGCATGGAATTATTGGGTCTTTATGAGGGAGGAATCGGAGTCCCATTTGTCCTATTATGTACAATGTTAGTGATGAACTAGACCGGATGGCTAATGCCTTTTCGCATTCTTACAAACCTCGTTATGAATGTGACCTTACCATAACATAATCGAAAGGCAGATGGCCGAATCGCATCATGTCGGTTTCGTCGAGCATGTTGTAGTGTAGTTACTGGTTGAGAAGACTATCTTTGGGTTCAAATTATCGATAAAGAATTCGTACGAAATGTGAGAAAATAAGTGGGAAGACTAGACTATATATAAGCGCCCAAGCATAACGTCATAGCCCTCATTGGGACTACAATGTAGGTCCAGAAAGTCAGGAGGGAGAGACTTGTATTGGAAAGGAGATGAGACTCCCGAACTAGTTAGTTCTCTATCCGAGTTCAATGCCTGATTCCTCAGGCAACCATCACAACAGCTTTTGCTAGTTAGCGGATGTATATTGCATATATAACCCATAAACTCTTATGAAATTTCAAGATAATATTTATCCGGTCCACATATAGCCCGCATTAATAAGAAAATAACATGTGTCGCAACAAATTCTCCGAGTCGCCGTTTCTCCGTCTCTCGGGATAGCAATGCACCGAGCTCCCCTCGGCATGTGGAATTCGTTGAAATAGACATGAATCCCCCGCAATTGTTAGATTTCTACTTTTTTTCTTTCTCTATCTTCTCCTGTGGACAAATATTGAGTTCTTTTTCCATTGAGACTTCATTTCATACATCATGAGTTCAATAAACGAATTCCCCCGCATCAAGGCAGTCCGCACCTTCATCATTGACGGTGTTGGCTCCGGCGGCGATTACCACAATGTAAGAGCTCTGATATGACAATTGTCTCGATATTCCATATGCTAACTATCTACACAGGTCAAGGGAGGCCACTGGCTGATCGACAGCAACATCTCTACCCCTATGACCAAGTGGGCACAATTCCGTGGCTCGCGAACGTCATGGGGCATCAATGTTTTGGGATCATTCTGCGTGGAGATTGAGGCCACCGATGGCACCAAGGGCTTTGCAACTGGTTTCGGAGGTCCCCCCGCATGCTGGTTGACTGAGCAACATTTCAACCGCTTCCTGATTGGCGCCGGTATGTATACCATCTCACATACATAGAACAATGGACCTTACTGACGAACTATATTTCCACAGACCCCCGCGACACCAACGACCTCTTCGAGAAGATGTACCGTGCCTCCATGTTCTACGGCCGTAAGGGTCTGCCCGTCGCCGTGATCTCGGTCATTGACTTGGCTCTGTGGGATCTGCAGGGCAAGATCCGCAACGAGCCCGTCTACAAGATGATTGGAGGCGCCACTCGGACTAGATTGAACTTCTACTGCACCGGTCCTGAGCCTGGCTCTGCAAAGGCTGCCGGCTTCATCGGTGCCAAGGTCGCCTTGCCCCACGGTCCCGACGAGGGTACCGAGGGTCTTCTGAAGAACGTTGAATATCTGCGCCAGCAGCGCGAGAAAGTCGGCGCTGACTTCCCCCTCCGCGTGGACTGCTACATGTCCTTGACTGTCAACTACACAATCCAGCTTGTCAAGCGCTGCGAGGCTGCTGGGCTCGACATTGACTGGTGGGAGGAGTGCCTTTCACCCGATGACTTCGACGGCCAAGCACTCCTCAAGCGTGCCCACCCAAGTGTCACTTTCACCACCGGCGAGCACGAGTACTCCCGCTACGGCTTCCGCAAGCTGATTGAGGGCCGCAACGTCGATATCCTCCAGCCCGATGTGATGTGGGTCGGTGGAATGACCGAGCTGCTCAAGGTCTCTGCCATGGCTGCTGCTTACGATCTCCCCGTTGTGCCCCATGCCTCCGGTCCCTACTCATACCACTTTGTCGTCTCCCAGTCAAACAGTCCTTTCCAGGAGTACCTTGCCAACTCTGCTGATGGCCACACCGTCCAGCCTGTGTTTGGTAACCTTTTCTTGAATGAGCCCATTCCTATCAACGGCTACCTTGACGTCTCTGTCTTGGACAAGCCCGGCTTCGGTCTGGAACTCAACCCCTCTGCTCCTCTAATCCCTGCTGCTGCTATCCTTACACCGGCACCCCAGAAGTCCCTACGCGCACCCGACAACGAGGAGTCGGCCAATGGCTCTGCCTAAATTCGGGGGAATCATTTGCTATCTTTTTGTCTTTGAATTATTTCATGTTATCAGCTATTTACGCACTATACGAGAGTCATGTACATACACATCGGATTTTAGGATCCTTTAAATTCCATCTCATGCCCCCTTCTCATGCCGATTATAATCTCCTGTCCATTCTTCGGGCCACACGTAATAGATATCCCCCGCTCTGTCTATATCTGTTTCAAGAGAAAATAGATAGACATCGGTAAACCCGCAATTTGACATGTTAGATTCAATAAATCAAAGTCTAAAACGAAGCGAATGATAGATACATTGCACGATACTCAAATTAATGACACCATTACGAGATCCAAGTGAGGACAATTCTTGGATTCGTCGCGCGGTCGTATTGTAAGAGATCTTGCTCATGCGACCTGGTTGATTTGCATTCGGACATTGGCCTCCGTGTTTCTCTGTATACCTTCGTTCGACACCCCAATATGTGCGTCATGCAACATCACTAAATCCGAAGTCCGTGTTGGGATACGGAGTGCGCCAATTTCGGTCATGTTATTGATCATTAGGCGATTTTCCGTTCGAATTGCTGGGCCCAGCCAAAGAAGAGCCATATCTTTGACCGTTTTGATCGGTCTCATGCAGAGTATCGAGGGGGGCTTGCAGATTTATAAGGCGTACAATCCTTGAATTGAACATGATGTATTCAAGGATACGTTCACAATCAAATACGATCCAAATAAGATGCGACATCAATAAAGCATCCTTCCGCTTCCTAAAACCTTGCCCTGAGTATCCCGTAACAGCTGATAAGACCTTGGAGAGCAGTGAATGATGCAAATTAATCAAATTCATTGATTCCGTTGGTGGACCCAACTAGTAATCTTGAAGGCGTTTTATCCTGTACCCTATCATGTCTGTCCTAACGCATCACCAAGATGACAATAGAGCTTCGGATACTGCCACTTTGGAATACTCCAGAACATGAAAAAAAACACCCAAATAAACCCAAAGATCCTGCTCCAAATACTTTCATCCAGCCACTCCAATCGGAATTTTAGTGCAAGCTTCTTCACAAAGACCCGAAACAGCTGTGTCACAACAACCTCCAAAAGCCCAGCAACGAAGTTGGCACAAAACCACCATATATCCAAAGACCAACCACAGTGGTCACCGAGCTGCCACGAAACGGCAGCATGAGAGACACCAGAGAGAAAAAAGATCATAAATATAACGAAAACCTTATCCGGCAACGAGCGAGGCCGAAGACGGAGTATCTTGCGGGAAATGCATTCACCGTAGTTCGTGTAAGTTCGACGAACTATCTGGTGCCAAAACTTGCCCCAAAAACGTCGAATGCTCCATGCTTGACTGAGGGATCCGAAAATCGGGGGCCATTCATGTGGTTCATCAAAACGGAGGAGACTAACCGAGACCAGCGAGAGTGCAGCGTGTGCTGAATCAAGCATGGCAACGGCAGAGAATGTCCACCAGCAGACGAAAGCACATCTCAGCAATGTCTCTCGAAGGGTGACTGGAACAATCTGTGATGGTAAACGTCGAAAGTAGACTTGGTGTAATGGGTCAAACTCGTCTATCCGGAGAGGCATGAATGCAGCAGGAAAGATCCTGGATTTTATGTAGAAGTACATTCCCATGTATGCTGCAACTTTCCCCAAACGAAGGACTGTAAATCTGGCCAATGATGGCGAGGAACTCGTGGCTGACTTGGGAATTTTCCCAAATTGGTAGGACGTCCCCAGAAGAAGTGGGTTGTTCCAGAGCTTTAATCCTTTGTAATATTTGCCGGGGATGTGAGGAGCAAGCTTGGAAATGCGGCCCAAATAATCACCGTCTTCCCATACTCGCAAGTCCTCAATAAATAGCAGTGATGTGGAGTGTCCCACCCAAATGCAGAGAAGTAGACCCCATAGACTATTTAAATCTCCCGGCCACCAATTTGATGTGGCGAAGGAGACACTGGCTGGAACGTACAGCAATGGTGATAGAATAATTCTTTGAGGATAAGGGATATTGGCTAAGTGGAAGAAAGCACCAACGGAAAGGAAAAACGTTGTAATGGGGACCGCGATTGGAAGGATGGGTTGAAAAAGTGAAGACATGGCTTCTTTTTTTGCGCATATATGAAGCTGGATAGTTTTCAAAGAGGTCAAAGTCGACTTGGGGGGAAAAAACTGGGAATGAGGGTTATATAACCTCAATTGGCCCCGGGGCCGTAGGTCAAGCTGCCCCCACGACTTATTAGTGGGTCATAATAGGGCTCATCATACTTCAGTATCTTACTGGTATTATAGCCAGAACTGCCTTCAATTGAGACGTTGGTTCGACTTAAAATCAATTTCTTACTTTATTTAGGTGTTTAATAAATTGATTACTGACGGTTCTAGGAAATGACAGTATATTCTACCAGACTCTAGGGTCTTTATCGGCAATATCTAAAACAAGTTCTTAAAAACTATAATCACTCTTGCACAGCCTCCTTCAATTTCTCAAAAGATAAATTCCCGAATTAACCAGACAGAGCAGTCTGAAGGTCCTGCTTGTCCTGAGCAGTAAGGCCATGGTACTCGAGGCTAGCGCTACCCATGGGAACGGGGATGGGGCCGCCAGCCTGGGCAGGCTTGTCGAGAAGAACAGTAGCCAGGTTCATGCAGGCCGGAGGAACATTGTCGGCACGAGCAGCTGGGGAAAATGTTAGTCATGTTCGACCTCATCTGAATAGTCTGGCTTACAGTCGTCACCGGTGCTGTAGACGTTCACAGCGGCTGCCTGATCCTTGATCTGCTGGACACACACATCCAGAGATTCTTGGGAAACACCAGCAGGCAGGGCACGCTTGTGGTCCTTGGTTCCTGCGACAATGCCTCCAGAGATGGCACCTCCACCAAGACCACCCGCAACGGCAGCGACGATGGCTGGGGGAGCAGGGCAGAATTGAACGAGAGAGAGGATGGCAAGAGCGCCGGCAGCGGTAGTGGTGAAGACGTGCATGTTGGTAGAATGGAGTTTGGAAGGAGAAAAGCTTTGTTGTAATGGATTTGGAGATAGTTGAGCTGTTGATGGGAATGAGGATTCTTCTCGGGGACAGATGCCCATACTTATAGGCAATCCCTTCGGCCCTTGAGTCTTTTGCTCTTTTCCAATCTCTCCTATCTCCGGGTTTACTTGACTAAGATGTGATGAAGGATTCCAATGCGTCACACTTTTGGGGCCGTCGAGAAATGGACTCGCAATGGCCCACTCTCCCTCTCACTCCATCAGAGAACAAAGCGCTGAACGTTCATAATAGAAAGTCTCTTAACCATGAGTGATTTTTCTCGGGCGGTGCACAGTGGACCCCGATGCATGCCCGGAATACAACACGGCCTATACTCGTAGGATTTGCATCAATGCAAGATAGATGAAGCTACAGACTTTGCCACCATGGGGCAAAGAATGACAAGAAGAAAGCTTTACTGGTAAGAGCAAGGAATAGTATTGACCAAACATGTAAAGTCCAGAGACGGAAAAGCAATCGTGATGTCAATAATCTGGATGAAGCAGAGATATTTACCAAATCCAGTATACAGAGCGTAGGGAACCACAGAAGATCAGCAGAACATGGGGGCTAGAGATGGGGGCTGCTGTAGACTTTTGCAAGCCAGACTCCACAGTCACGTTGAAGGAAAGGGGAGACGATGTAAGTGAAGGGGGCCATGATGCAATTAGATCTCATTCGAATGGCCATTACATGGAAAAGGGGAAAGGATTCGTACATTCGAAGATGGGGGCCGTGATTCAATTAGACCTCATTCAAATGGTCATTACATGATGCATTCTTGTCAGGAAACTTAGTTGAAAGCCCTGCTTGTCCGACTATAAGAACCTCCATCTTCTCAGCCTAAACCCAGCATCTACAATTCAAGAACTCAGTCTACTCCACTCTTAAAAAGACCAACCTTTTCAATACAAAGAACCAACTCAATAAACCAAGATGCACCTCTTTGCCATCTCCGCTGCCATTGCAGCTTCCCTGAGCATGATTCAGTTCTGTCCTGCTCCTCCGGTTGTTCTGGGTCCTCTCATAGCTGGTGTACTGTGAGTATACCAGTAATCAATCCAAATACCCCAACGCAATCATGGCTAAAAATCGTTACAGTGCCGGCGAAGGAGGCGCAATGGTTGGCTACGGCGTGGGAAAGATCGGCAAGCGCTCCATTCAGGGCTCAGTCCTCGAGAAGCGTTCTGATGTGAGTTACAAACGGACTTCTTTCACGATACTGGGATCATAGAGAGCTAACAAAATCCCAAAACAACAGCCCTTCGAGGGTCTTCCTCAGCCAGCTGCTGATACATGCAAAAGTCAGCTAAATGGGGTCGAGGTCAAGTTTAGTTCGACTGGCCCGGGAGCCTTCCGCGTGGACAATGTCCCCTCCGCTTGCATGACACTTTCGAATGTCATCTTAGGACAGGATCCTAACCAGCCTGCCCCCACCCCTCTCGGTAATTATCACGAAAATCCTTTTTTTTGTCTTGTGACTAACTTAGACTAACAGGTTCCGCTGCCCTGGGCTACTCCGGTCTTTCTGACGACGATATCAACAAGCTCCAGGCCGCTCTTGATGGCAAGGGCTACTAGAGTGGATTCACTGTGGATTCGTGGTTGAAGGAAGAAGTGGGGGCTTATGTGGCCTGTTTCAATCATGTCTTTTTCGTCTTGAAGTTGAGTATACTATGTATGAACTAGAGAATACCAAGAACGTTTTTCTATAATGTCAGAAAGACAAAATATTCGCAAGGGTGTCTTCTGCACTCTGTACTACGTAACAGATGCGAAAATCATGACAGATTAGCCATTTCGTGGCCTTATACTGCGTAGTTGTAAATAGTACAGAAAGGGGCCAAATCTCAATGCAGACTTATTACGAGTCCACTGGTTGATAGTAAGATCTACAGTCTCTGTGTCTCGTCAATTTCCACTATTCTTGGGCTACTAGATAGATTTAGAACCCATATGTTCAGTTATACTAGTATATGCAGTAAGCATACGCATATCATTTCTCTTAGCGCCCACATCTCATCACCATACTTTCCCCACAGATGTACGAGCAGTCCAATCAGAGAAATGGAAAGACGGAAACTATCCCCTACTCCCGATCCTCCCAACGGCTAGGGCCGTAGTACTCGACGCCACATCACGTAGTGGGCCTGAGTCTTCGTCAGACGACCATATCTTGACTTATAGCCCTATTTCATTTTTAATTATTAACAAATTGGAAGCGATAGATAGAGTCCAAATATATTAGCCCCCAAAGGCAAGCAAAATGTTGGTAAGCACTAGTTGATCCATGTGGGTCAGGGGCGCACAAGGGGCTCAACGTGTGTCTTGAAGACTGATATTACAGAAGGTAAGAGTGGAGTCTCCAAGGCTGAAAGAAACAACGCCAAGAGATTCGATATGGCAAGGGCCGCTTGAGCCTCCACGAACCTGCATGTACGAAGTTTATGTACTCCATATAAAGTAAAATGTTGGCACCTTGGGGGCTAAACAAACCGTCTTGGCGGGATGTGATGATTGGTATTAGCAGGTTCCTGGGGATCGTCGAAACTAAAGATATATTTGAGTACTGCATATATGCATGTATGTACTGCTTTACGTGAAAATACAAGACCTAAGACCAACGGGGGTCGAAAACAAGCCCATCCCATTACTAAATCTACCTACATGTACCTGAAAATCACTCACCTCCTTTCTCCCCTCTATTCCATTGGAAATTAAAACATGAAGCACCCTTTGCGCCTGCTTTTCAACCAGATATTTGCTATCGTATGGGCCGTCGCCTCGGTTTTCCTGGGCTGGGGGCCTTATGCATTGTCACCGGCTCCAAATATCCCATCTTGGTTGTAACATCAGAGTCTATGGAGCCTGCCTTTCAACGTGGCGACCTCATCTTTCTTTGGAACCGCGAGAAAATCCTTAATACTGGCGATATACCAGTTATATGGATCCCAGGGAAGCCCTTACCAATGGTCCATCGAGTAATCACGGTCAACCATGAGGTAGAAATAGATGGGCATGTCAAGTACGTTTGTTAACTTGTCCAAAAGCTCAAAGTGATATTAACATCTAAATTTAGGCAGATGATATTGACAAAAGGTGACAACAATGCCATTGACGACAGCTTCATGTATTTACCGGGACGGCCATTTGCCCTCCGCGAAGAAGTTGTCGGCTTAGTGTGGGGGTATGTGCCCAAACTTGGGTGGGCCAGTTTGGTTCTACAAGGTGGTTTTGGGAGATGATCTGATCGGCAAACTTGGCGCCCAGGCTTGTTGGATGTACTCAATATCTGTATGGTTGTACATAATAAATGTAAAGTGGGGAGTATTTCCAAGAAAAAGTAGCCAACTACCTCCAACAAGCCATAATCTGCACTTTTCCCTCGGAATATGTATACATTACATTATATAAAGTACAGAAAAGGATCACAAATTGAAAAACACGCGCTGATCCTGATCCACTTGGAAATGGTCTATAAAGTCAAGTGCCCAGGGGCTGAATACCCGGGGGCCACACTAACATCTTAGGGGCCGAAAGACATATCTTTACCTAAAAAGGAAGATGCCCCCAAATTCTTCCACCAAAGTCTGCCTTGTACCCTTTTGAACCATCTGCGTCATAACTTTAGGTCGTTGATTTAGAGCAGATCCCTTTCAAGGTTCCGGCGCCACTAAACTTTCACCAAACTTTGTATTTATCAGTTCTCTTCAAACTCCTTCTCTTCAAACTCCTTCTCTTCCCCTCTTCACAGCCCTCTACTGTTAATTTTATCCACATTGTAATGAAATGGAATCACTTGCACCCACCAAACAACCTATCGCCATCCGTCCAGAACATGTTGCTTCATCGACCACAACAATTCAGGTGAAGCAACATAGTGCGAGCTGGTCCAGCGGCAACTTCACAATTTCTAGCACCCCAACTGCCGAAGAACCTCTCTTAAACAAGCTCTTCAGCGTCAACGGTGATGTTGCATCACTTTCTCAGCGAAGACATTTCTGCGACGCCTCAGGTCTTCCTCTTTTTGAGATATCTCGGAAAAAGGTGGGAGTAACATGGTATCTTCATCTTCCCGGCGAGAGCAGCAGTAAAGGAAGCTCTTCCGAGCCTATTGCTACGGTTGTACCGAAATGGAGCGCTCTGAAAGACAAATTTGACGTTCATCTTCGGAATGCTGCTGCAAATGGAGAAGAGACATTACTGGAGGTTCGCGGGCAGAATGTCTGGAAGACCAAGACTCATGTTACTCACCGTGGTAAATTGGTGATGGTGGTAAAATTGACCGATGTGGCTGCGGTCTATCTACCTGGGAAACGGCCATCGTGGGAAGTGGTGGTGGCAGAAGGGATGGACCTTTCGCTGGTAAGATGACCTATTTTTTGCCCAGAGAGTGCATGTAGTTGATGATATCTCTAACCCTTGATAGGCGTCAGTTATTGCTGTTCTTCTAGCGACGGTTTTATACCAGAGCAGTGAGGCACGATCAGACACCCTTACGAACACGAGTTACTGATTCTCCAACTAGGCGGCAAAGGAAAGGAGCCGGCGAGTAATGATGGCCCCGATGAAGGAAACAATGTATAGACTTGAATATGAAGGAATAGATAAAGTGAATGTAGACGAAAGTTCAAGGGCTACATGAATGTGGCGATCATTGTCATCTAGTGAGCATAGCTAGGTATTGGCTTGTGGGTGGGAATCAAGAATAGCTAGAGACACTCTATGTTGGAACAAATATATATTGTATAATCTATTCGGAGGTGCTCCGTACACCCACATAGTTCACCGATTCTGCGCTTCGTCTTTAGTTGCACAATTTCCTTAGCCTAAGGTTTTCCTAGCAAAACGCATTCTAATGAGTCCGAGTGAAAAGTTCGAACTTGTCTCAACTCGCATTATATATATATCAAGGAACTACATATCTAAATTAGAGTGGATGAGGGGCATTAGTAGTGAACGGAGTGTGTATTATTAATCTATTTCTATCTACTACTTCTCTCCTCTATTACTTATATTATAGACTATATAGTAAGAAATAAATAGGTAGTGTTAGCGCGACAATCTCATAGAACATCTGTGCTGGCGGATCTCAGCGAGTAGCTGTCTTCCAGATAACCCATTTCCTGCATATCCGACCACACGCTAAACATTTTAGGTAGGGAGCACTTTATCCACCCTGGAAATGGCGGCACGGGGTCTTCCTCCGGTGCCTCGATGACTTTCACATAATGACGCTGTATGTCTTCTGGTCTTGGTGGCAAGTTCTCTGGAAGTGGAGCGTTCTGTAAAGTCTGAAAACTTTCCTTGTCAATCATAATAAACATACGGTAGCTAGGAAAGCTATCGACCTTCCCTTGCTCGGTTACCCAGGCTTTGAAATGATCACGGACGTGGTCTATTGGTACTCCGTCGAACTGGGAAGCATCTTCAATAACGCGTGGTTCGTGATGAGCCCACATTTCATCGAAGGGAGCTCTTTTAAACTCATTCACGTCGGGACTAAAGCGAAGGTAGGATTCATAATCCTCGTAAAATTTGTCCTTCATATACTTCGTGGTAAGGTCGACCACACGCGGGAAAGCGACATGGGATTGGGGAGTATATGTTGTCCGGTATATTGTGTAGCCCCATGTGGGTTCGGTGTGATGTAGCCATTCATAAATGTTTTGGAAATGGGATGGAAGTCAAGGGTAATGCTTCATGGGTAATCGACCAAGCAGCGACATAGTTGGGGTGTTGATGCGACCTCAGGGATCTTGCGGTGGTGAGGGAACGGAGACGCTGCGGATGGAGAAAGATATTCGCAGGACAAGGTGTAGTGAAGGAAGTTCCTGACCCGGAGTTGCTCCAGTTCCCCACACCCTCGGGGTAACATCACCACGAAATACCGAGCTCGAGAAATTCATCCCACCTTGCCCCAGGTGAGAATTGTGGGAATTTCAAAGGACAATCTTCCATTTACAACATCCTCAATGTCTTTCCCACAGTTATTAGTTGGCAAAGTCGCCGCCATCACTGGTGGCCTCACAGGCATTGGACGGGTATGATTTATCACCTCCAGAAAAACAAAAAGAAAAAGAGAAACACTAACTATATTACAGGCAATTGCCCTCGATTACATCCGCCACGGAGCCAAAGTCTCCATCAGCCATCTCGGCGGCGCAAATGAAGACGCGCTACTAGAAGCGCTGCGCAAAGACGTGAACGAGATCGAAGCCGAAGCAGCCAAGACCCGATTCCTCACGGTATCCGGCGACATTTCACAGCCAGAAACAGGCCGGAACTTTGTCGCAAAGACCGTCGAGGCATTTGGTCGACTAGATGTATTCGTGAGCAACGCCGGCGTGTGTCAGTTCGCCGAATTCCTAGAGTGAGCTATACCCTCCCATTTAATTACCATTCCACCCCTCTCTAACAACCCCACCAGACTCGAACCCTCCCTCTTAAACCACACAATTTCAACAAACCTCTCAGGCGCATTCTACGCCACCCAAGCCGCAGCTCGCCAAATGGCACTGGTCCAGTCGCCATCAGGCGGCTCCATCATCGGCGTGAGCTCCATCTCCGCTCTGGTCGGCGGTGCCCAGCAGACACATTACACACCCACCAAGGCCGGTGTGCTGAGTCTCATGCAATCGTGTGCGTGTGCGCTCGGTAAGTATGGTATTCGGTGTAATGCGCTGCTGCCGGGGACTATCCGGACGCAGCTTAATGAGGAAGATATGAAGGATCCTGTTAAGCGGAGTTATATGGAGGGTCGGATTCCGTTGGGTAGACTGGGTCAACCGCGGGATTTGGCTGGGCCGGCTGTTTTCTTGGCTTGTGAGGAATTGAGTAGTTATGTGACTGGTGCGCAGCTACTGGTTGATGGTGGGTTGTTTGTTAACCTGCAATAAGTTCTTTTGGATGTCCAAGCTATTTATTTCTGAATATATGTATTTCAAAGACAACGAATTTGTACTTCTATGCTTCATAGTAATCGAGCGTCTAGATATCTATCCCATAAGCATGCAAAGCAACAGATCCCCATACACCCTTCTTTTCTTCCTCGGACAATCCCCTCCGTTCCAAAACCTCCTCCACCACACGTCTCCATCTACCCCAAGCGACATCATTCCCACCACCACCAACATTGCACACCGGCCAATCCGATCCAAACATAACACGATCCGCACCAAAAGCATCAAATATAACATCAGTCCATGGCTGTACGCGTTCAACAATAGCCCCAAAATCCGGTTCTGACTCCGCCTCGAGCGGTAAAAGCTCCGAAAAGCCCCCAGAAAGCTTCATATAAGTCTTAGGACTTGCCGTCGCCATCTTAGTCACAAGATCCTTCCACTCAAGGAACTCAGGCTGAGACCGAATATCATCCTCCAAACGAAGATTCGGCTTGCACAAATGATCTATAGCAGTCAGCAAGAACCCCAAACCTCAACAACCAAAAGAAAGAAAAAAACATACTAATAACAATCGTAACACCCTCCACTAACCCCATCATCTCAACCGCCTCCCTCAACTGTCCCAGCCCACCAGACCTAGCATCAACCCCAAGATCAAAAACCAACCCTTCCCTCCCCAACCACCTCAACCCCTCCAAAAACCCATCCCCAAGCATCGTCCCAGCACCCTTATCCTGAACCAAATACCTAACCCCCCTCACTTTCCCCCAAACAACCCCAGTGCGATCCCGCACCTGCTGCATATACGCGCTCAACACATCCGGTCCGCCGGGAACAGGCGCCCACGGCACGATCCCCAGACAGAGGTTTTTGTCGCTTGGGACGTGGCCTTCGCCTGGGATGGGTGTGCCGAGGGCTATGCGTGTTAGGAGGGAGACTTCGTCCAAGGCGTGTTGCCAGCCGTGGTTTTGGTTGGTTGGGTTTATTGAAGAGAGACGGTCTGTTTCAAGGAAGATGAAGCCGAGGAGGGCGGGTGATTGGGTTGCGTGGCGGTATTCGTTTATGCTGTGTTGGGTGCCGAGGGGGTTGGTGGGGGTGTGCCAGGAGAGGGTTTTTAGGTGGGATTCTGGGAAGAGGTGGATGTGGGAATCCACGATTGGGATTTGAGTCATGGTTTGTTATGTAGTTTTGTTTCTGGGGGAGTTAGTTAAGTAGATTGTATGGGGATGCGGAGTTGGTACAAATGTAGTTGGGTTTTTGGAGATGCGATAGATTAAAGTGATATTTGCTAAGGGGAACATTAAAGATCATTGGGAAGTTAATGGGAGCTAAGACTCGGTGGTTTTTGTCCCGAGTCTAGAGAGATTGGTGGAGACAGTAATTTTAGGCATATTGAATTGCCATTTTGAAGGTTGAAAATAGCTTGTAGCTGAATTTCACGTAAATTCTACAAAACTACAGGGAGTAATGCTATATATAAGACAGAAAGAAATTCATATGCACGAGAAAGGATCAGGAGTATACATACACCAAGTGGATAATACCACGAGGGCAACAAAGGGAATGCATCAGGGAACATCAGAGGAATAACACAGGAACAAAGGCAAGGTAAAAGGGATGTGAACAACCCCCTCTGCAGTAACACAGCAGAAGGGACAGGGTATGTATGCATACATGTCTAGTAAACATGCAGTAAAAGTTCAAGTTCAAGAGGGGAAAGAAAAAAAGACAAGAAAAAAGTAAAGGTGAACTTCCAAAGAGCAAGGAATATATGAAGTGGGACGTAATGCAATGATATGCATATTTTCAGCACGCCAATACACTGCTCCCGGTTCGATCTATACAAGGTCTCCTCTGCATCCACGAATTCTCAAAGCTAGTCATCCATAGGCTTGTCCTCCAGAGTGACTCTGTTGGGTTCACTTTCAGCGATGCTGCTTCGGTTGCTGTCTGTGCCACTGGCCCCGGCAGCCGAGCCAGTGGGGAAGCTAGACACGCTACCAAGGCCTGGCTTGCGGCTGTATCGAGCGCCAGAAGAGCGGGACATGGAACTGCGCTTCTCAAACTCGGCGGAGGCTGCAGCTGGAGTAGGAGTAGGAGTTGGAGAGTCATCGGAGGCGGTTTCGGGAAGAACAGGAGGGGGGCTGGGGGAGCTCGAGTGGGCGCTGTTGCTGGCAGCAGCCGAGGCAGGAGACTCGGTATACGTGCCGTTAGTAACAGGCTCAGCAACTTGGGTGTTCACGGTAGGAGCATCCTCGGATTCGGGCTGGGGAGCCTTGTTGGCCGGTACATCTAGACTAGTACCGCGAGTGGATCTGCGATCTGAAGGGCTACTAACGTTGATCGGGAACCGGCCGATCTCCGAAGCACCGCTCGAGCGGTCACGTCGATGCCGTTGGCGATTGGCGGGGCTGGTTGCCCGGCTGCGGTTGACAATGGCTCGCTGGCGGGCTTCCATCGCCGCACGACGGTTACTCTCGTCCGTGCTGATGGCGCGTGGACGGTTGGAGCCGGCGCTGGTAATACCAAGCGCACTCGATTGGCGCTTCAGTTCGCCGAAGATGGAGTCCTTGTGAGCAAACAGATCGCGGATCAGGCGGTAGCTGTGGCGCTCGTTCATCGTCAGGCTGCTCTCTATGCGAGGGCGGAGAATACAAGGGGAAAAAGGCCTGTGCCAACGAAGTGATGTATTCTTCGTCGGCCGAGGTCAAATCAATCAGGCGCGTGAAGTGAGTCATAATGGCATCAAGCGTAGCAATATTGACAAGGCGGAGTTGTCCAAGGGTGCTTTGCAGAACCTTAATCCGTCCTTCTTCCGTGGTCTCATGAGCAGTGGTGGAATAAATAGTTTTCACGATCTCGTAAACTTGTGAGGAAACCAATGAGTCTATCGGGGGATTAGCATAAGCCTATATCAAGCCACTAAGAGAGCCACGAACCTGGCAATTCAAGAAGGTACAATCTTAGAACGCTCGCAATAACTGGGATTTCGAACCGAGGCAACACCTCAGCATAATCGGCCTTGCTGTTGTTCAGAACTTGACGAAGCTTATGTGTCGTGCTTAGATCGACTTCAGTCAGCCAGATCATTCGCCGTGTTTCATCGCCTTCGAGTTCGGGGTAGCCTGTAGGATTTGTGAGCGTTGTTTCAAGAATTCGAACGTATTCCATGGATTTCTTACGGTTATCCAGGTAGGTCAGAATCGTGGTTATCAGGATGGGAACACGTTTGCGGTCGGCACGAGCTCTAGCTTCAAGGTCGACACCAAAGTTTTGTTCTAGTGAAAATTGAAATTAGCTGTGTTTCATCTCTGGGCGATGACCGTGGCTGTACCTTCAACGGAACCATAGTAGTTTTCGTATGCTTGGATCTTAGGTACGAATCCACCAGTGCGGTAGTTCTCGAGCAGATATCTCAAGTCGCCGAGAGGCTGAATTGTTTCTTGATATAGCATCATATGATCAACAGTGCTCTGCAGGTTGGGAATGACATTGCTGATCGCGCCCGAGAAGTCAAGAACCACAGCTTTGATGGCCTTGAGACGGTCCAACTCGCATTGCTCCATGTATTTGAGCTGGCCAATGACTTCTTCCTCCAGCCGGCAGCGGATCTGGTCAAGCTTACGAACAGCAACCTTGTACCGTTCATCGGCTTCCAAGGCCTCTCTCCGGAGCTTCTCCGAGGGCGTCTCGTTAGGGTAAGGGTTGTTGAGGGGGTTCCAGCCAGACAGAATCTCAGAGACAGATGCAATAGGCGAGTCGCTGCCGTTCCCGTCCTCGCTTGATGCCACTGAGGTGACACGCATGAGAGGCTTCTTTTTTCTGGGATACCGGTAAGTTGGAAGACCTTGGGGCGCCATTGATAGTTCATCTTGGAGCTATTGGCAAAGACATTGCCCATATTTCCAACCAAGCGAAGAAGACCGTTGTCTACCATATCCTGACCAATTATCTCCACTTGAGCGAGATTGTCGGCCTCCATGTAGGTTTGAATATATTGCGCAATATCCGCGCCGGTGGACACATTCAAATAGGTGCCGATGATGGGAACCTTCGCCTCGCCAAGCTTGATGTTATCGAGCATGTGGGAGAGGAGCTTTTTGATGTGGTCCGGCGGGAAAATTCGCTCACCCAACTCGATGGGATCTTCGTCAGGCTCTTCCTCGACAGGGAGAACGATCTTCGGGGTAGCTTTGATCTTGGGGCTCGACTCGGGGTCTTGGAATGCAAGTTTGTTTTCTTCTTCCAGGTCCTCGACGACACGGCATTTGTTGAAGTAAGTACTGCGCAACTTCCTTACCAACTCCGCCTGCTTGGTGTGTTCCTTGATGCGGGACTGGAGGAGGTCATGCGAATACTGAACACGCATGTCGTGCTGTTCGCTCCAGCGGCGGTAGGGCGATACGACCAATTCACGAATATTGTTGGCGATCTTCTGGTGGTTCTTGGAGGCCTCGATCATCTCGGTGCGAATTCCTTCGTATGCCTGTAGCGAGGTTCGCGCAATGTCAGTCTTCCTTCATTCCGGTCCATTCCATGTGTCTAAAACAAACCTTCCTAACACTGGCACCATCATCCTTGCCGAATCCCACCGCGGTCATCCTGTCCACGCTTGGGGCGATATCTCCCATGCGGAGTCCATACTGCTCTTCTGCATCTGCACGCATGGACGCAATGGCCAAGATCTGCTTGTTCTCCACAACTCCCTGCTGCAACTTTCCGTACAAGACCCCCAGGCCCGACGCATAGTCGGGGGTCCAGAAAGAGTCAGAAAAACCTGGCATTCTGGCGGCTAAAAGGTTGATTCAGGCCGTCAAGCGGAGACACGTTATGATCGGCGTAAAAAAGGGAAAGCGATCCGGCAGCTGATACCGGTGTATTCGTATGATCCGAGGGAAACGGGAATCGTAAAAGGGTGGAGAATGCGCGAAACTAAGAGTCAATCGAATCGGAGCAAATTGAGGTTAGGCGGCCACCGAGGCTCTGCGTTTGCGATATGACCAAGAACAACGAGGGCAGACCGGCTGGCTTGGTTGATGATTCAATATCCAGTCTTGACGCTAGATGAAACTGCGCATAGAGCGAGACACCAATGACAAAGCAGAGAAGGTCACTTTGGAAATGCGAGAACAGCGTGCGCAAAGTTGTTAAGCGCCGGGATCGCGGAGGAATTCGAAGCTAAAATGAATGAAAGCCCAAGCGACTTGCGATGCAACTCGGCAGGCAACAAAAAAAACAAAAGACAGATGGAAAGATGAAGATCAAGATGAAGAGATGGAGTTGGAGTTGGATTTCCAGATGGGGCGTCATGTGGCTCGTAATATTACGGGGATTTGTGTACATCTCAGACCAATCCATGGGTTACCGCCCAGCAAAGCGCCTTTTTGGCTTACAGCGTGGTTCTTGTCCCCGTCTTTGAATCCACTTGGGCTATTTTTGGCCTGAAAATTACACTGGTAATTAGCAAATCTTTAAATCTGGTTTTTTTCAGAAGGAAGAAAGGGGGAGGCTGGTGTCTTCTTTTTTTTTCGTTTACAATTTTGTATTAATATTGCATGTGTGAGCCTCGATATACAATTTAATCAAAAATTTATTACAAGAATATAGTACAATACAATATATTGTGGCACCTTACCCCTAAAGCCGTTGACTGCTTGGGTCCACAGCCAAGGCTGGAGGCTCGAGATGATCATCGTGGTGTTTACATGTTGCAATAGAAGAAATTATGTATGAACGTTCCGTGTGATATTCATAGAAAAATTATGGTATCGTGATTATCTTTAAACAAGCTTTCAAGAATGAAAGATCAAGATGTAGTACATAGGGTTAGATGTCGAAAAAAAAAAGATGAAACTTCCCGCTTAACAGAAGAACTTCCAAACCTTCTTCCATTTGGGCCATTCCTTTTGCTCGGCAACTTCCTGCTCAATCAAATGCTGGAGGTCGAGCTCGCGACGACCGGTGACCAAATCCACCTCGGAGGTGCGAACAAACTTGGTCTTGTACACAAGCTTGTAACCGACGTAGCAAATCAGAACAACGGGGGCGGCCAAGTAGACACCGAAGAAGTTCTTGACAAGCTCTGCGGGAGTCTTCTCTGCGTAACCAATGGGGGCGAAGCCAACCCAGAATTGGGCAATCAGGACGAGACAGTTGAAAATGAGACCAATCCACGAGCCAATAACGCCGGGCTGGGAACGGAAGGCCAGCTCATCCAGGGTGTGGCCCTGTTGCTTCCACGCGCGACGGAAGAGGATGTGGGCACCACATACGGAACCCCAGGTGAAGATAGATGAGAGACCTGAGATGGCCATCATCCAGTTGAAGGCCTCAGTCTGCACGTCCGAGGCGGCGAGATATGAAAGCAGACCCAAGGTAGATGCAACAATAATGGCGGGAAGGGGACGACCCTTGCGGTCGATGTATGCAAGGAACTTGGGGGCCTGGCCCGCCTCGGCAAGGGCGGCAAGGGTACGCGAGGATCCATAGACGGAGGAGTTACCGACAGACAGGACCGCAATCATGATGACGACGTTCATGATCGAAGGCAGAGCTTTGATTCCTGCGTTCTCGATAGCAATGACGAAGGGAGACGCCTTGGCATCGGCGGAGGAGGAACCGCGGAGAAGCTTTGGGTCATCATATGGCACCAGCATGCCGACGACGGTAAGGGAGACCACGTAGAAGAGAGCAATACGCCAGAAGACCTGCTTAACGGCAGTGGGAAGGGACTTGCGGGGGTTGGCGGTTTCGGCGGCGGCAAGACCAACAAGTTCGGTTCCAGCGAAGGCGAACGCGGCGTTGACAAACACACTGCAGAGGCCCTTGAAACCGTTGTGGAAGGCACCTGGGTTGTACCAGTACTTGGCGCCGATGTATCCACCTTCGGGGCCACCACCGCAGTTGAGTACAATTCCAAGGATGCTAATAATCAAGTCAGTGAGGGTGTTCAAGTTTCAGACCGTAACATAACTTACATGAAACCGATAACGGCAACGACCTTGATGATGGAGAAGACAAATTCGGCTTCACCATATCCTCGCACACCGAACATGTTAATCGAGACAATCAGAACCCAGAAGATGGTCACCCAGGCGGCATTTGAAATATCCGAGTTCCAATACCCGACTGTGATGGAAGCAGCGACGATCTCCAAGGGTAGAACAATAAGCCACTGGAGAGCGTAGTTCCAGCCCATAGCGAAACCCCAAGCAGGATCCACGAAGCGAGTCGAATAAGTGGCGAAGGAACCGGCAACGGGGAAGAGAACGGCCATTTCACCCAAGGCGTGAACTGTACAGTAAAGCATGCATCCAATCAAGATATAGGCAATCAGCACCGAGGCTGGACCACCGACGGACAAAACACCTCCAGAACCAACGAAGAGACCGGTACCTACATAGTAAATGGAATTAGCAAAGTCGAATGAGATGAAAGAAGAATGGGGAACATACCAATAGAACCACCAATAGCAATCATCTGCAGATGGCGACCCTTCAAGTTACGCTGTAGCGGGGAGTTGGCAGTGTTATGGGCGGCAGTCTCGATATCGAAGCCACCGCCATCAGCTCCAGCACGGCTGACAGCTTGGTTTGGGTCTCTCTTGAAGCTGTCCATGATCCGCTGGCCAAAGCCTCCGCGCGTGACAGACGAGTCTCCATAGGCCGGGGGCGAATCCGAGCCAGTCTGGACGGTGGTCTCTTCGAACTTCTTCTCCTCCATGATGTGTATGTGAATAGGTTTCTCTTTGAAAAGTGTTTATCCAAAAAGGATCGATAGAAGTATCTATCTATTCGACCCGAGAAATCCAGAGAATGTGTCTGAATCAAGGTGAAACAAATGAGAGATTGACCGTTTAAGAGGGGGAGGCGAGGGTATAAATACAACCAGTCCAATTTCAGATAAAAGCGATATAAATTAATTATTTTACGTTCAATATAATCAAATTAAATTTAAAATCAAAAGAACGTAAATCTATCTGCTTTGCGCTTAGACCAACTAGGATTTCGCACTAATAACGTTTGAGACTCCAATCTTCTGATAATCTTGGCACTGGGCCCGAAGTGAATTATCTTTTTTTATTTTTATTTTTATTTAAAAGAATACGCCATACTAAAAGTGTTCGCTATGAGTTACACTATGAAGAGCTGCAAACGTCGAGCTTCAAATGAACCTATGTAAGCTTATACGTTGTACCGGGAGATAAGCTGGAACGTGGAACAACCATGTTTCACCCAACTATCTTAAAAAGGTAAAATAAGAGTTACCTAAGTAATTATTTTGGGTCCAGGATGTAGGTGGACCCTAGTACACGCTATCTCTCGCGTGATTTAGCCTGCCAGAATGGGATGATCTCGCCCCCATGAACGATTGGGAGTATGGAGTTAACTAGTGCCCTCTCGTATTTTGTATAGTCATGCTGACAGTGAATGACTTTATCTGGTGTATCATGATATTCTTATTGCCAAGAGGTACTTGAAGAAAAAGCCAAGCTTTTGGAGCCCAAAGACGGCAAATCCCCAGATCCACTAAACCCCATCTGTCGGTCTCTCCGCACTCTACCCGTGATAGTCGATCATTACCCAATCAGATCGGACTCGGGAGATAAGGGACATTCCTGGCTCACGGGCCCCATGGATACTCCGTACAGCTTCCTAATCTCTTGCGTCTTTCTAGAAACACTTTATCTTGAGAGATTTTCTAAGTTTGGAATGAAATAACCTTTGAAGGATGCTCTAACAATCTACACAATATACTGACCATTGAACAGAAAAGGAGAATGATTTCTTTACGTTCATCCCTTACCTATGGGAAGGCTTCCCGACGGACCCCGTTCCTGTGGCATGCGCTATGGGCCAGAATACGCGTGCAATGCCATATGGCTGGAGGAAATATAGCCCCACTGAGGCTGGTCTTTCACAATTGACTCTGGTCACCTCGGTATGTTCTCTTGGCCTTATGGTAAGATCTTGGCTTTTGTGGCAAGCAAGGCAGACAGAAGATTGCGGACAATTCAAGAACCGCCTCGGTCGGGTTTGCCGCTATCGCCTGACATGAGCCCTGTTGGAGGATAAGAGATGGCGCCACAACATCCTCCTTCGGCGTTTTTGGGGCGAGAGTGTCTACCTAAGTGGCTCGTGGGCTCGTGGCGGTCTGCCAGTGATATGCATGGAAGCGCGGGAGAAGCATACCAGGAAGGCCGAAAGGGTGTGTGCTGGGGGAGACACTATCATGTGGTGCTTATTAGGGACTGTAATGATTGGCCTTGCCGTCGGCGCGGTAAGCAACATCCTCGTATTTTTTGGGCCAAGATGCAGAACACATCGAGCAGGAAGCTCTGGTAGGTCCAAGATTATGCCCTCGCATCCTGAGGTCCGCGAATAGACTTTCATGGACCAGTAGCTAGATTCGGGCATCCCCGTCAAAGCTTGGACAGGATTGATCACATTATTTGGTGGCTAATATGTGGCCAATTTGGCTAACGAACGGTGAGATCTCAAGGTGTTCAGATCCCAAGGTGTTCGTAATCGCGTGACCTTTCGCCTCAAATGAGAGAAGCTCTCTGGTTAAATCGAGATGTGAAAATCGGCTCCACCAGTCTTATCTTGCATTTTCCCATTGCGGGTCTCAAATTCCATCACCAGTTTCTTAGATAGGGCATTCCTTCCATAACACTTACGGAGAATAGGGGCAAACACAAAAAAAAAGGCGCACCAGGGTTCTCGGCCTTGAGCTGAATAGAAGTTATGCTTGAATACCAGCCACTCAAGCCTTCCTCAGCCGATGGCGCGCAGTAGCTGATTTTACTGGCCACGCTCCCGCACCAGATAGCCACGGTAACATCGGTTTAGGTTGGCATTTGTGTTCCGGTGACTTGACTGGAGCCAAGGCTGATTGTCCCCTTCACTTTAGGTCGGCTGCGCCCGGATGGTACTTTGAAGCGGACAACTTTGCTGCCTGTCAGGTAAAAACCCTCGGTTAGATCTGTAGCACAAAAGTTAGCCCTTGGACACATCCATGGACACATCCGTGGACCCCTTCTAAGGTTATTTGATCAGCAGTCCGGTACCCCGCAAAAGGAGTCCCGTATTGAGGTGACTCAAGCCGACTAAAATCCCCGGAAATGAGCACATGCTCGGAACACGCAATGCGGATGTAGATTTTCGCCACCACGGATGGGCCCGGAAATCATTTTATCCCAGGTTGATGGCCAAGAAACAATATACATTCCGTTAGTTCTATCTATTCTCGGTATGTTCATAATTCCCGAAAGCCGAATCGGAGCTCTGTTCAATGTATTTTCAAAATTTGCCTCGCTTCATTATTATTCTCAAGAAATCTATTCAAGCCCAAAATCCGGAGTCGATATTAGGTGCATATAAAATGTGGGGGTGACATTCTGTTAGGTAAAAAGTTCCACATAGTCAACTTTGGAATCTGGGGAAAGGCGGCACAAAGAAACATGTTTTCAGTGAATTCGTGTGAATACTCGATTATCCATGATTATCCGAAACCTGGAGACCTGGAAACCTGGAAGCTCGTATGCACCGTGACCCCTTTTCTTGTCCCTGAGGCTACCACTTTTCTGGGCAACTTATCTTGTCTCAATTTGGCTCCCGAAAGCCACCTGCAACGTGTATGTTATTGTGAGCTGGGTATAGCTCTCGAGGGGTCAGTTCTCTAACATATTAGTATTGGGCCGGTCGATGTCCAGATCTATGGAAGTATCAAGTAGGGGGGCTATACGACATATGTCGAATAATGTACCGCAGATGATCACATCCTAATTAGCTACTCGTTAAGGTTCAGCACCATAATTAATCTCCACTTAATAGCTACGGACTGGCGAGCGATTTAACACGAATGTGGGGTAATTGAGGCGATTTGGTGTCCGCTTCTTTACATCGTATATCATGATATCCATGAAGAATTGTCCGAGCAGGGGGGCCTCCACTCGTATGGGATGGTCTCAGATCTTATTAATATCCGGTTATAGACTGTAAATAGCGGGCGGCGACCGGGATTAGCCGTTGATAAGCTGATTTCAGGTAGAGATGACTTCCAAGGTTGTGGTTGGAGAGCTTATCTTGGACCGCGGGCGGTCCGAGGTCTTTGGGGGGCTAGGTAGTTCCTGCATGCCCTATCTCGTATATCATTGGAGGCAGCTAGTCCTTGTGGGCGAACTGTGCGGTGGAAGATGCCCCTGGATTGTAACTATCCGCCGAGCACATTCTCTTGGGTGTTCTTGGCAGCTTCTTCCGTCTTACTCCAATGTTGAGCTACGCGCCACGAGACTCGAGATAAGGGTGGAAAGACCAAAAGCACGCTTGGCATGGAGGTTCATTCATTCAACGATTTTGTTCTATCTCGTTGCGTTCGGTATCATTAATACACAAATTTTTATTTCGTCACGGCAAGAACTGGGTATCTCAAGCTCATGAGCTTGCCACGGGGCCTTCACCACCGGGAATCAACTGTTTGAGGAGTTAATAAACACCCAGATGACCTCAGAGAATGAATTTAACTTACCATGCAGATGTTGTTTCCATTCAACAAGAGCTTAGGGAGCTTGATCTGGGCACCAGTGTAGTCGCTGAGAGAAAGTTAGTCCAGGGAGCAATCACAGCAGTGACTTGTCGAGAATTTCAACAAGCAATTCGCGCAGATGGAGATCAATGAACACTGCCCAGGGGGTAGGAGCTAAGGCAACGGCCACAGAAAAAGAAAAGGGTAGTCAAAGCTGGGAAATCAAAAATGAAGATACATACAACTCTGTCACGTCTTCCATAACCATGTCTATATCGAAATTAGTGCCTGGTAAGATCGTCACACTGCTCATACAGGGATACTCACTGACGTAGTCATCGAATCCGAGCAAGGTCCCGGAGAACTCTTTATAAACATTAGCACACTGATTCGGTTCCACTCTCAACCATTGAATTTTAGCTGACCTTTGTCACCCTTCATGACAACCCAAATCCGGGAGCCAACACACTTATCAATGAGCTCTATCAAACGAGTTAGCGGGGTCAATTATTTCTTGGGTCATTAGGCACACACCGAGAGGAAGCAGCTGAGAAGCCATGATGTCGGGAGATAGAAAATATGGGCTGTTAATCAATTTTTCCTTAGGTAGCTTCTTGATTTAAAAACAAAGGTGATCGAGCATACTGCGTGGGCAAGATCGATATAGAAAAGGACGTGATCGTTCGTCGCTCGGCACCTCTGATTATCCGGCCCGAGCGGCTAAGCCAAACAAAGTTTAGAGGCAACTTTCAAAGGCGCTTGGAGCTCCGCAACATGGAGTGCTATCCAGATCCTTAATTGGTCTCCTGCTTGCAGCTTTGTTGATTGCACGTATACTGAGCCACAATCTGCTGTCCATCAAATCGACCATCTTCGATTGTTTCGTGGGGCTCCAGGCTGGTCCACTATGATTGTCACACATTATGCCAATGCGGCCAAATACTTTAGCAAGTCGGAGGACCCGATCTTCGATTGCAAAACATAGCGGTCTCGATAGATTCATATCCCATGGGCTACTGCGATGGGGACTTTCTGAGCGGCGGCGGTAAGCACACTCTCTTGTGTTCAGCTTCAATGGCTATTTTTCTAACTAAGCTACAGTCCCAATACTTGTGCGCGATGTGTCTCGCCGCTCCGCCATGTGTCTCTACCGAATCCAAGCTCCTCCTACACCCCGCTGGTGACCTCTCAATCAAAGCGCACATTTTCCAACACTACTCGCAAAGAAGGCATATGGGATGACGACGACGAAGTCCCAGAGCCAAAACCCGTACAACGAACCCCAGGCCAGCCGGGATTTGTGCGCCCTTCTCAACATCGAGACTTGGCCAGCTTGGTTCGATCGAGGGTTGAAGGGAAAAATCGAATCTCTGAACGCCTGCACATCGAGAAGCAGTTCAATTCGCTACCTTCATATCAGGGACTTGTTGAGAATTTTGTCCAATTGAAGTACAAACACCTTGATGATCTCGTTGTTGAATCCAACACAGTTACTCAAGAATGCATCAAGGTCACTCAAAGATGTGTAACTGAATGGGAAAACCGATCAAACTTCATCAGGGCGCAAATTAACCTCATCAGGGCGCAAAGTATAGCTATTGTGTCAGACGCCACGGATTCAGTTCTACAAGCAGAGAAAATCACCAAAGAGTATATCGCTGAAGTGAGACATCTTTCGTCTTCCATACTGGGCCGAATCCAGACTGCTGTCACGAAAGCAAAGAAAACTGGTCAAATGATTGATCATGAATACTGCTGTATTGCCTTTTCTGGGACTCCGGAATTGGCAAGAGGGGTGCAAATATCCGCCCAGAACATCCGTGGTTGGAGGAATTCTCTCCGTGCGACTCAAATAACGCTCCTGGAATCTCAGATCAACACTTCTAAGCTATTAATCCGTCAATTGAGAGACACTCTCGACAATGATTACCTAAAACCCCGGGTTATCGCAAGAAGTCGAATTGATCGAGTTCTTCATCAAACCGTACTGATTGAGAATGACTACATCGAGTTGCGACTGAAAGCCACCAATGCCAGATCTTTCGCCGTCAGGAACCTTTGCTTGAAGCTTCGAGACAACACGAACCTTCGTCCAGTCGATAGATGGGTGTTTGGCCAGTACAAAGAACTCATTGAGCGTGGTGATCGCCAGATTCGCGCATGTGCCCATAAGCACCGTTCAGCCTGGCTCAGAAGGCAAATGGCTTTCCACCCACTTCGACAAAGTGAACTATGGAATATGGGCGATTTCATGGTGGCAGTTTCGTCAGCTCGTCCTAGTATATTAACTGACAGGAGTATCCTACTTGGGCTTATGCAAAGTGCGCCAGAGGACTCACCGGCGAGTCAGTACTTGCACGACAATCAACTCCTGCTATCCAACAAGATCTATACCCAATACAAGCGTCTTTGGATGCCAAAACCGGCACGCAGCCCTGAGCTACATATCTATTGGCGACAGTTGGATGTAATAGCGCCACTGCACCTGACCAATATTGCCACATGGCGGCTTCATAATGAAGTTTGGTACCTTCACCACAGCCTCAAAGGTGATCTTGGAGCATTGTGGGCTTGGGTTCCTGAGGAGACTCGTCGGCACACTGTTTCCAATGTGGCCGACTGGTGCATAAAATTCCAGGAACATCGCAGCGATCTTCGAAAAACGGTTGCTAGTTACATCCATTTAAACTGGCTGCGTCTTCGGTCGGAAACCTTGCTACACTCAATGGAAGAACCTGCCTATCTTGCTGGAAAGTTTGAAGTCCTCAATCCAATGAGCCAGGATATCCACCGCTTCAAGCAATGGACCGATCGCATGGGCCAGCTGATTTCTGACGCCCATATTATCTCAATCGCAACCCACTTGCCGCAAGATGAGTGGGAATCCATCCAGAGAAATATTGGGGGCTCGATTTTACGTGATGCTTCCGCTAACCCCCAGTTTTTAGAACTGGGTTCTTCGGCGACCAAGCCCAGGCGTAAGAAGGGACGAGGGGAATCCAGACATCCGAAATTTTCTCACAGCCGTCTCGAGAGATATATCAAAGGGCAACTGCCGGGCCATCCCGAGTCCCCACCCACCAGTCAAGATAATCAGTGGCCCGGTCAGGCTGTGAAATCCTCGAGGGTTGTCTTGATGCAACCACTAAGGAGGGTGAGGAGGGGAGTCAGACAACAGCAAACAGCCGACTTGGCTGCTAACCAAGGAAGTCAAGATGAGAGTCACCTTGGACACAAACTCAATCCTTCAACAATAGAACCCGAGGACCACACAACAGAGGGCAAGCTTGTATCCAAACCACCCCCAGTCTCTACGCCTAAATTCAAGCGGTTCCTCGTTTATACGCCTGCTAGCCAGACAACCCAAGAAGGGAGCCAGGCTCTTCCCAAGCCACCGCCCATGGTCTCGAAGAGCAAGGAAGTGAGCGTCAGCACGGAGCCACATGTTGATGACATCCGTCCACCAATTCCCAGAGAAATCAGTAATGGATACCCAGGCACATGGACACACAACGGACTACGACCGGCCCTTATGCTACCAAGGAAACCATTCGCTAAACCAAAATCGGACAAGGGGAGAAAGTATAGCACGGATGCAATTTCTTACCAAACTAAATTTCGACAAAGCGGTGTTGTCAGCGATGATTCCTTGTCTGAACGGCCGCTTGAAAATGTCATGTCCTCGGTCCCAGATACCGTGGCCAGAGATGGGCCAAGATCTATTGAAGAAGAGGATTCCGCAGTTGAACCAATCCCATCATCAGATATTGATTCCAGTGCCAACAACCTTACAACCTCCCAGTTTTGGAGCCATAGTTCACAGCAAAGCCCCGATGGCCGAAAACTCATCGTGCATTACTGCCGGACTCTTCAAAGCACCGAAGAAGCTGTCCAACACTTCCTCGGGAGCAAAGTCATTGGATTTGACATGGAATGGAAGGCTCAAGCATCCGGCTGGGACAGCATTCAGAGCAATGTCTCGGTGATTCAAATCGCAAACGAGGAGCGTATCGCCATCTTCCAGGTTGCACTCTTCAAGCCTGCACGTTCTTTGGACGACTTGGTTTCCCCGTCATTGAAACGCCTCGTTGAATCCCCCGACGTCATCAAAGTGGGTGTTTCAATCAAGGCAGACTGCACACGGCTACGCAAGTATCTCGGTATCGATGCTAGAGCCACCTTCGAGCTCAGCCATTTGTACAAATTGATCAAGTACGGTAAAGACAATCCCAAATTGGTGAACAAGAGGGGCGTCAATCTCAGCGAGCAAATAAACGAGCATTTCGGTCTCCCTCTCGAGAAAAGTGATGATGTCCGCTGCGGCGATTGGACTCGGGCTTTGAATTATCGTCAGGTCCAATGTGAGTACTCAGATACCTGCACAATTTCTCTCATTGAATGCTAATCTTGTCTTTTTTCTTTAGATGCTGCTACCGATCCGTATGCTTGCGTCCGTCTGTTCCATACCATGGAGGCGAAAAGACTAGCCATGAACCCAGTTCCGCCTCGTCCTGCATACGCTGAACTCAACCAGCCCATAGTTCTTCCACTTGGACAAGCAGTCAATAGCGAAGAGGACCCATTGATCTGACCATGTAGATATGTATGCATACATGTACTTATATTTGGTTGTCCCCTAAATACCCCCACTCTTTTTGATATGAAAATATTCTAGAGCATATATTTGTACAGTTTCAATCCTGGGAGGTCTTTTGTTTTCTTTCTTTATTTCGGTGCTATGCTTAAACGGCGTGCATTTTGATTTGATTGATATTTACATTCTACATTATACCAGGAAATGCATATTCATCGGCTGTTCCATGCCAGGAGTTTCAATCGAACCTTACAGTCCATGAAAATCAGCTCGAATAAAATAGTAGAAAGGGGGTATATATTTATCCAAAATGAGTGTATAAACATGTATGGGCTGTACCAATCTCTTCAGCGATATCTATGAAGATCATGAAAGTACTTAGAACTTATTACCTCAATTAACCACATAGCTACCCTCTGAGAGGCAGCACCTTAGACAGCAAAACCTCCTGTCGGCAGAGCGGACACTCAGGCTTTTCACGAACCCAGTCCCGAACACAAATCCAGCAAAACACATGTCCACAAGTGGTAACACTGGGATCCTTGAACATTTCCAGACACAAGGTGCATTTCCGCTGCTGACCCTCAGGGATCCACGCGACGGCGCCAGGATCCTCCTCAAGATCATACAAAGGCACAGATGCAGGAAGAAGAGGAATAGCAGACGGGTTCTGAATCGAAGCGAGGACAGCTCCACCCTGCGAGGAAGACTGGCCAGCATTCGCAGACTGGCTCTCGTCTTCATTTATACTCGCGCCAAGTTTGCGGGCGTGCAGGAATCCCTGCACGGCGATCTGGAGAACAAGCAACACACCCAGAACCTCATATCCGATGCGCTGTTCATTGTCGTCGATCTTCTTTGTGAAAACGTAACGCAGACGCCAAAGTCGCTTGGAGAGATGGTAGTACGAGCCCGTGAAATAGAACGTCGCAATGCTCAGCGCATAAATTGGCGACAGGGATGTAATGGAGTCCAAATGTTCAAGTATGTATTGCTGGATGCGCAGTTTCGTAAAGAGCGGGCGTTTAGTCGGGGTAGTTGAGAATTGGGGTTTATTGAGCAGGCCAGCCTGCTGCGCCGCTCGTAACTGCTGGCGTGCGATGTTGCGCTCGAGCTTGTTGCGGATTCTCTGTCGCAGTGCAGGTAGTAGACGCTGCAGTGTCCATGGTACTAGGATGCTGCTTAGGATGTACCCCACGCGACGACCGATTGACGGTAATTGAAGTGTGTCATCTTCTAGTTGTACGAGGTCGCAGTATTCTTCGCCTAGGGTGCGGTTTCCGATGGCGGTTGTTAGGGTGAAGTAGAGGAGTTCTGTAAGGTGCTTGATGGCGTCGGAGTGGGTATGGGCGTATCGGGCGCCGCGGAGAGCACGGATGATCCCTTGGGATTGTTGAATCAGACTGCCTGTGAGGAATGCATCCTTCTCATGCGAGCGGATGATGTCTGGTGAGGTTGCGAAGGGGTAAAAGTGTGAGGTAGATGAGCCGAGGGCTGAGTTCGGAGTTGGTAGAGAGAGATGGGAGTCGTCGTCTGCCATGATGGATTGTAGGGTGTTGATATAGGGATATTAAGCTTGAGTGGGATTTAGGATGGGGTATTTTCTAACTTGGTGCATCCCCAAGACGAGTTAGAGGTTCAATTCCCCAGCTTTCCTGGAGATAACAATTTCCCCGGAGTTGCCCTCGGATGTCATGCCTCGGTATAGAACGACATCATGTGACTTGTGTTCAGATCATGTGACCTCTCACGTGGCTACATTACCATACCATTAATACCACATGCAATACCATAATTACCAAATTATCATACACCGCAAGCGTCCCACTTAGGGTACTTCCGAGGTACCTGGCGTTGTTGCAGACGAAAGCGGAAGGCTTGCAGTGGCTGAATGTACCTCATTCGGTACCCCCTTTTGTAGAAAGGGGTGTTACGTAGTTCCAGTACAAAGAGATTTTTTTTTACTATATGATGCCATCTAGACGTGCTTATATCCTTAAAACGTAAGTACTCACATGAAAGGGTTTCTCTCGATCTTCTCCTGAGATGCACTTCTCATTAGTCTTAATATTCTAATTATATCCAATTCGACATTGTGTGGAGATCCAGACCATCGGCGGCCTCTGACTAGTCCAGGTACTGGCTAATCTCTCCGCTTATTAAACTGCCCCAGCGGCTTTACTGGGAAAAGTCTCAACTACCGGACTTTCAAGATCGTCGACTCACCCCTAGTCATTCTTTTCGGTTTATCCACGGGGTTCTTTCTTGTTACTTGAGCCTTTTCGTTTCCTGTGATCTCTCCCCTCCCCCTGATCAATGGAAGATGGCGGTTGATCAACATGCTCAATTGGATGCCTTTGGGCTGGTCTTTCCATTGCCGCTACGTGTAGCCGCACTCTTGGTCGCTGGTAGGTGACATTCCTGTCCGATTTGAGTCCCGATTAGGTGTGTTAACACAAGGGGCTAGGTTTTTGGGGATGGGGTCTCAATCTTCAATACCTGGCAAAAGCGAACATCGTAAGTGGCGCCCCTCACTTAACCACCATATCCCCGACGGCTAATCAGATTTCCCATACTTTCAGGACGTTCCGGCGCTCATCAAATATCCTGCCCGCACATCCTCCCAACGTCCACATCACACCGCCGTCTATCGCCTGGCTACATGTTTCACCATCCCACTTGCCCTGTGGTTCATCGTCTTTTGCTTAGCCACCCGCCGGTCCTCTGATTTGGTAGAACGATTGGACTGGGTCCCGCAATCGGTGTTCATTATCCTCCTCCTCATCCTGATCTGGCCCTTCAACCGCGCCTCCCGTTCCGGCCGAATCCGATTTCTCCTTACCTTCAAGCGGATCCTCATTGGTGGTCTGGCCGAGACTCAGGATGGCAAGTTTGGTGACATTCTGCTGGCAGATGCCCTAACTAGCTATGCTCGCGTGATCGGAGATCTATATGTCAGCTTCTGCATGTTCTTCACCGATGGCCTCGCCGCTACCTCCAAACCCAATCGGGCCTGTGGAAGTACAATTGTCGTTCCTATCATCCTCGCCGTTCCCAGTTTGATTCGTCTTCGTCAGTGTTTGACTGAATATGTTCGTGCGCGGCGGACAGTCACCCGGAGAGAGACACAAAAGGCAAATCAGCACTTGGCCAATGCTCTCAAGTATGCAACTGCGTTCCCTGTCATTTGGATGGCCTCCAAAATGCGTAACTACAATCCTTTGGAGCTACGTGGATATAGTGAGGTTAGCATGATGCGCCTTCTGTAAGATTGTCCTTCCTCATATCTTGTGTCTATACCGTTCTCTAACACCCCCACAGCTTTATCGTCTCTTTCATCAACTCTGCCTATTCTTTCTGGTGGGATGTTGTCAAGGATTGGGATATGACCCTCTTCTCCCCCGAGCGTCGCGACAGCGCCCACCCATACGGACTTCGCCGGCATCGCTACTTCGGATCCGACAAGATGTACCACTACGTCATTATCGCGGATCTGGCTCTTCGTTTCTCATGGCTATGGCGCATTATCCCAGGTCTTGGCTGGATTCCAGAAACCGAAAGCGGAGTCTGGCTGCTCATGTTCCTCGAAGTTGTACGACGTTGGATGTGGGTATTCTTCCGGACTGAAGCTGAATGGAGTATGTTTTCCCCCTGTGCACCCGCACTCCCCCTGCTCCAAACTGTGTGACCCAAGCACCACTATCCTGGTTTTCGGACAATTCCACTTACGCTTTTCTGCCCTAGTTCGAAACACCCATGGCCCAGGCCCGGATGACGTCCTCCTCGGCGAGTACAACCACAAATTCGACGCGGACTAAAGCTACCCACACCTTTCATCTTTGATCATAACTTCAAGCGACTTGGAACGAGAACGAGACACAGAAAACACTCCCTCTCAACTCAACACAATGATTGAGTCTTCGGGCATATATTGCTCTCCCAACCAAACTCCGGATATCCTTACCCAACCCAATACTAGAGCAGCGATAAATGAGGCCTGATGGCTCTTTTTTTTTTTTTTTTTTTCCGGCGTGTGAGATCGTCTCATCACACGCCCGTGTACGCCTATTGTTTTCTTTTGGGGGCTCAATTCAGCTGTGCGTGTAACCTCATGCACAATTCCTAGATTCCTTGGACTTGATCTCTGGGCCTGAGGCAAGCATGAATTTCTTATTCTCTGGATTTCTGTTTACTCTTCACTGTACCAATTATTTACCTAGGGTCAACCTGGTCTGACGTCTGCATTTACCCCTTTGTTTCCCTCTTTACATATACCATCTATTCTATTGGATCGCAATTTTGGTCTTTTATTTCTTTTCTTTTTTTTTCTTCTCGGCGCTTAGTTGTCGGGAAATCTAATTGGTGTTTGTGGCTTGTTTTTATGGCCTTTGGTGTTTTGATGACTGACGAACCTAATGATTGAAGACTCAAACTTGGTTTCTACACATATATTAGGACTTTATTAGACGATGCCAATTAGAATTTGATGCAAGCAGAAATTTGAAGCCCGAGAATTCGCTGCATTATCCTGCGAGTTCCCGGGCTTCATGGCCTTATTACGAACTCAGAACTGACATATGTGAAACGGGTCCAGTAGAAGTTACAATCTTACTGATTTGAAGTGAAGGGATGCTACATGTGTTGGTCTAAAGAAAATAGTCCATTGACTTCTAAAAAATAACACCACAAAGACAGACTCGTTGACTTCGTGCAAATATCCTCCCTAGACAAGGTGAGACATAAAAAATAGAAACACAACCATAGATAGATAGCGGAATAAATATCTAGGTGGACCAGCCAAATAGGCCTCTGACCTATCCATGCTTCTCTTCCACTGCCATCTCCTGCCATTTTTCTTTCACTCGTGCATATCAGCTTCACTTCACCTCACCTCATGTCACTCATGTCATACATGCTTGTTAAACATTTGAATATGTTCACACTGGAACACCATCCATATATTCTCGCGCCCTTGCAGATAGCGTCATACTAGTCCG